TGGTTGGCAGGAGGGTAGGACAAGACAATGGCAGGCCTCAAAGGCAAAAGGAAACTGCAGGCTTCTAAAGATACAGTGAGAGGGCCAGTGCAGGACTGGAAGAGACACGTGCAAAGGGCCCAGGGCACAAGGAGCTTGGTGTGGGCAGTAGGCAAAGCAGAAACAGCCTGTTCTTGGTAGTTATGCAGGGTGCGTGGCCCACCCCAGGGCACTGAAAAGTGACAGTCCAGACCCACTCAGGAACAGTGTGTGTGGATACGTTGCACAAGACCCTCTGTGATGTGAAGGTCATGCAGGGGTCCAGACCTTAGGGAAAGAGCTTGGCCTCCATGTACCCTACCCAGCCCCTTTGGGAGACACATGTTTCTTTAGGAAAAGGCTCTCCACCTACACAGGGTGGCTACAGGGCAAGCCTGGAAGGGAAGCTGGGATGCAGGCGTGTGGCGGCCTGGAAGTCACCCGAACCGCACGTCCTCTGTCTGAGCACCCCGCTTGCCCCGGTTACCAGATGCCTAGCCACTCCCTGGGGCGGGCCTCCACCTAACAGAGGCCAGATGCTTGTGGGCACACCTGACCTCCCTTATTCCCACCAGTAAACAGGGGGCTGCCCAGGGCTGCTCTCCTGCCCTTCTCTGCAGCAGACCTCACCTCTACCCCCAGCACAGGCAAGGGGAGCCCTGGGGCTGGGGGAGGAGGGGAGGAGGGAAGGGTCTCCCTCGCCACCCAGGCAGAGACCCAGGGCAAGGTGCTGTGAGCAGATGGGAGCAGTGAGGGGCAGTGGGGGCACAGATGGTCACTGTTAATACAAAATCCAGGAGGGCAGCCGGCCAGCCGAGACCACCCACGCACTGGGACATCTCAGGGAAGACCCCCAAGTCCCGCTTCATGCAGCCCTGGGATTCTCATCTCTCCTGCAGGGCCAACCTCTCCTCTTTCCAGAACCTCCAGTTCTCTGGCTTCTCCAGCAGCATGCACTTCTCCTGACCTGACTATCTCGATTAGCCACCCAGTCCCCACCTCACTGACCACAGCCTACTCTGTCCACCTCCCTCACTCCCTGCCAGACTCTCGCCTGGGGTTCTTCCTCTTTCCTAGACTGGAATCCACTGGAGGTCTCGGCAGTGGGGTGAAGGACCAAGTTCAAACCCCAGGAGAGCAGCCAGGAGCCTCTGCCTGGTCCCTGAAGATCCTCTAGGCTCTGGGACTTCCACCCTGTGGGAGGTGCCCTGGGCTGCACAGCGGCCTCACTCCCACCCAGGGCCAAGAGTCAGGAGCCACGAGGAGCCTCCGGAGGACATGGAGCCGATACAGGACTCCCATGGGACACCTGCTGGCCTTTCTTTCCATATACTGGGCCTTTGGAGCCAGCCTGGTGACCCACGGACCCTGGATGCCACCAAGCAGTGGCCTGGTCAGAGCGCAAACAGACTCCAGGACAGGCAGCCGTTGCTGGTAGAGTTCAGGGTCGGTACCCACTCCCCGAGACCCGCAAGCACACCTGCAGAGGCACACCTGGGATCCCTGCCCTAGCTTGCCTAAGTGGGCGAGCCTGGACTGCCGGGGCTGCACCAGGATCCTGCCTCACCCGGAGCCCCCACAGGCCCACCCCAGAGTGCAGAGCGGCTCACCTGCAATAGCCCCAGCGCTGGCAGCTGGCAGCGCCCCTCCAGCTCGGCAATGAGCTCGGCCAGCCGGGCGCTCTGCTGGCCCAGGCGGGCAGCGCTGTCCCGGAGGGGGGGGCAGCACCTCGAGCTCCTCCTCCTCGAGCCTCTGCAGCAGGCGCTGCTCCTCCTCAGCAAGCAGCCGACGCAGCCGCTCGAACTCCGTCAGCACATTCTGCCGCTGGCTGTCCACCATCTTCTGCGGGGGAGGAGACTGGAGGGCTCAGGTCCTGTCCCGCCCCTACCCCAGGCCCTGCCCCGCCCCCAACGGGGGTTCCCTGCAGGGTGTAGAACCCTGATCCCTCTGCGGGAGCAGCATGAGGCCCGGACCGCTGTGTCCCTCCGCAGGGGCTCAGGGGCCGGCCACTCCCCACCCGCGACCTCAGGCACTGGGCCACCTGCCTGCCACAAGGCACAGGTCTCCTCAGCCTGGGCCTGGAACAGCAGTGCGTCCTCCATTTGCTTCCGCAGGTGCTCTAGGGACTTCTCCAGCTTCCCCTGCGGGACAGTGAGACAAGAGTGAGCTCTGCGGTGTGGGCCTGGGCCCTATTCCAGTCAACGGTCAAACGTGGCTGAGCCGGAGGTCAGCTGGCAGGAATCGCAGTCCTGGGCATGACACACAGACAACCTTAAAGGAGATGGCGAGGGCGACAGCCCAGAACCCCAGGCCCCTTGCCTGTATTTCGTCTCCTAACCTCCCCCGAATCCCGACCCCCATACTTCTCCAGGCCTGCCCTGGGCTCTCAGGAGGGTCCTGGCCTGCGCAGCTCCATCTGGACTTCTAGCTGGACCCAGGCCTGAGAGGTGGTGCTTTGGGGAGTCAGCACCCCAGGGCATGCGAATGCCAGGCACAGCCCTAGGTAGGGGGAGGGGCAGGTAGAGTCCCTTTGATATCCCAAGGACAAAGACCAGCTAGGCACCAGTGGAGTGAAGGGGGTCAGAATGTGCCTCCCCAGAGTAGGCCACTTGCACACCAGGATTATTTGGAACTGAAGCAAGTGGGGAACAGCAGACACAGGAAGGGCCCTCTGCCCTCCTCCTTTCTGCCTCTCCCTAATTGTACCAGAAAGGGGGAGAGCACTCAGCAAAGACGACTCTTCCTCACAGATGAGTCTGACTGAACAGACTTTCGTACTGAGACAACCCTGATTTTCCATCAGTTTCCAACCCCTTCCATATTCCCTACTTCTCTCCAGCCAAGGAAGCCCAAATCTCATTTTTGTCTAGGTGCTTCTCCCCAGTTTATCATTCGATGTTAAAATGCAACATAAACTCAGTCTAACTGCGTTTTTCACTTCTCTGAGAAGCCCCTTGTACCACATGAGATTTTAAAAAGACTAGTAAAACTATGCATTTTTTCACTCGTTACTCTGCCTTTGTTAATTTGCACGCCTCATACACGAACCTAAGAAGTTAGAGAAAAAGGTTAGGGGTAAGTGCAGCCCCAAGGAGCTGTTTCAGGCCAGCTGCGAGGAACTTTCTCTCGCTCTAAGATCCATCCCGGCCAATGGTCAGTCCCACCTGCCCGGTCCCCTGCAGACTCCCACCATGGTAAGTCACAGCAGGACCTGCCCCTCCCAGAGAGCACGCCTCTTCCTGATCTCCAGGCTCGTGCCCCACAGGAGGGTGAGGGTTTGGGACTGGCTGCACGCAGCTGGGAGCGAGGGCCCCGCATCCCCCACCCCAGCCCAGGCCCCCGGCCAGGCCCGGCCCCGCACCTTGAGGTCTTCCGCCGCGTCCTGCAGCGGGCGCACGCGGTGCGTCCAGTGCTCCCCCGAGCGCTCGCAAGCCGCACACAGTAGGCGCAGCTCGTCGCCGCAGAAGGCAGCCAGCGGCTCGCGGTGCGCGGCGCACACACCCTGCGGGACGGGCGACGGCGGGTGCAGGCGCCGCGCCATCTCGGCCATCTTGGCGAGCGGGCGGTTGGGCCGCAGGTTCCTCTGCGGGGACAGCTCGCGGCACTCGGGGCAGGCGTACGGGCCCTCGGGCTGGCCCCAGCAGCGCCGGATGCACTCGCGGCAGAAGTTGTGGCCGCAGTCGGTCATCACCGGGTCCGTGAAGTAGTCAAGGCAGATGGCGCAGGTGGCCTCCTCCTGGAGGTTGGTGGACAGGTCGGGGGCGGCCATGGCGCCGCTGGGGCGGAGGAAGGCGGCGCTATCGGTCGTGGGCCTCCGCGGCCGGGATCTGGACAGCGCGCGGGGCCGCGGGGGCTCCGGGGCCGCGGGCGCGGGGCTCCGGGGGAGCGGGGCACAGGGATCCGGGAACGCGGGGCGCACGGCTCCCCTACGCGGACAGGAAGAGGAGCCGCGGCGGAAGCAGGAAGCAGCTGGTTTTTGTGTGTGTGTGTGTGTGTGTGTGTGTGTGTGTTTTTTTTTTGGAACAACCCGCCTCCGCCCCGGATTGGCTGCGGCCTGTCACGCGGCCCGCGGGCCGGACAGCATTGGAGGCTGTTCGCCCGCTGACCTCGCGGCGGCGCTGCCGCGGCCCCCGAGTGCACTGGGAGCACTGGGGTCACGTCGGTCTCTCGTCCTGACCCGCTGCAGACCCAGGCCGACGGGGCGCCCGGCGAGTTCACTGGGTTCCCCGCGCAGCACAGCGACTGCGAGGACTAGGGCGCCCTGAGGCTGCGCTGGCGAGCCCCAAGCCGTGTCCCGTGCGCCCCTGGACCGGGCACGAGCAGGATGCGAGCAGGGAGAAGCTCTGGCCTCGTTGGGGAAGGCACGCACTGACTGGGGTTCTGGGGTACCCGGCCTGTCACAGGGCTGTGAATGCGCCTGAAAGTGCAGAGAGCGGCGGGTGGAAAGGAGTCCCTCCCACCCGTGACGCCTACTCTGAACTCCGCCCGGGTTTGTGCGACATAAGGGCTGGAGGGCTCTGAGGTTTTTAGGGATTCGGTTTGCAGAGTTTCGTTTTCCCATCACCGCCTCCTCCCCTCCCCCCTTTGCTGCAAGGTGCAAACACCGAGTGTTTGGAAGACAAAGCAGGTGGACCCTGGAGGCCTGGCTCTATGTGTATAACCCGAAGCACGGCGGGGCCAGTCCTCTGGCTCCATTCCTAGGTGGGCACACGTATTCCAGAGCTAGCGCATCACATGCGCCTGGGGCTGGATGTCCTTCCTTGGAATCGGTCCACGAGGGAGCTCAGCGGCTGTCCAAGTTTCCTTCATGAAATGCGTGCGAATATAACCTCTTATCATTAACTGCTTTAATCGGGATTATGTTTCATTTTAGTGAAAGTGCCTTGCACGGCTGGGGGCTCACCAAGGTGCCAGCAGACAGAAAGAAACCTGGCAGGTGGCCTGCGCTGAGCTGCGCTGTCCCACCTTCCCAGGAAACACGGGCCACCCACACTGCCCCAGCCTCTGCCCCTAGCCCTTCACCCACAGGGTCACTGTAGAGATGACCATCTGGCCTGATTTGGGGGCCCCGAGGCAGAAGAATGGCTGCAGGGGGCCGGAGAATTCATGCTGGGCGTAGGTGTGCAGGTGGGAGCCATCCCTCAGGTTGTAGAAGGACACCTCCCCTGCCTCGAAGTCCAGGAAGACCCCCACGTGGCTGGGGGGCTCGGCCAGCGTGACCGGGGTTGGGGTGGCCATGACGGGCAGGTACTTCTTTCCCTTGCACAGCTGCACCACCCAGAACCCATTTTCGGGGGACTTGGGGACCTTGTCCCTGCGGCTCACGTTGTCCCTGCACACGCCCAGTGCCCAGAGTGCGTCGCCCGTGAGGTTCATGCCCACTTCCCAGTAGTGCCTGCCGGAAGAGAAGGTCTGCTGGCCCACGGCGCAGGGGTAGGCCAGGAATCGGTCCTTGCTGGGGGGCACGGCCCCCAGGGGCGGCGTCAGGTAGCGCCTCTGCCGGCTCTCATACAGCAGGAGGTAGGGGTACGCGGTGGTGGGGTCGGGCACCACATCCTCTGCAGACAGGCCCGGGCCGTGGGGAGAGGGCTCCGGTCATCCCTGCTGTCCCCCACCAGCCCCTAGGCCTCCCCCAGGAGACTGGGTCCCTGTCCCTATTGGTGGCGCTATGGAGAAGGAGCCAGGGGTCCGTGTGGGCATCTCCACCTGGGTTACCACAGGGACACAACGGAAAGCATGCCCTGGAGCAGCAGGTTGGGACAACTGTCGCCCCCATTGCGGGCTCCCTTGGAGTGACCAGGGGTGGGGCGGGGAGTCGTCCAGCGCCCCTGGGTCCCTGCTTACCTTGAAAACTCTTGAGCACCTCTATCTGCCCAGGGACCCTGCAGATGGTCCTCAGCACGGTTGGGGTGGCCTCCGGGTACTGGACACTCAGGCTGTTCTTCCTCCGGTGGACACAGGTCTCACTGTCCCCGCTGGCCCCATGCGGAGTCCTCCCTGTGCCCATCACTGCCTCCCCCCGCAGGTGGCTGCCTACCTGCTCAGGAGCTCCTTCATGTCCTACAAAGCAGGAAGGGGGCAGGGGGGAGGGAGACGGGCAGGACCTCATTAGGGTTGGGGCGTCATGTCTGTATTTCTGGTCTGCAGAGCTGGAAGGACTTCAGGGTGCTTTCCCAAGACCCTGTACCCACTTGTGGGCCATCCCCCTGTCGTGGCTGCACACAGGAAGCCTCCACCTCTGGCCACCAGGCCTCCTGCTCTCCCCCCTTGGAAGCTGTTGGCTCACGAGGGACAGCGGTGGGGGGACGTGACCCCCAGCCATCAAATGGGGCCTTTGGTACTTTAGCCCAGCCTTGAGTGAGTCAGATGTCCATGTACTCTCCTGCAGACCAGCTGCTTTTTAATAGTAGACAAAGCACTCCCTAACATTTGGGCAATTGTTTAGTCTGTCATCCGCAGGAGGGGGTTTCCTGGGCACAAAGCCCACGGGAGGTCAGGACAACAGGCAAACGTGGGGATTGACTCAGACATACAGGATGCCCAGCGCCCAGCAGGCGGCCTCTGCCTCTGGTGTGTAAACATGCCCGTGCATGCATGTGTGTGTGTGTGCCTGCATGCACACGTGGGGAATCCTGTCTGCTGCCAGGGATTCCATCGCTCCCCATGCTTGACACCTGTCCCACTTGTGGGGCACCACAGCCCCCTGTGGTCAGGCCCTCGTTGGGCTGCCTGGGCCCTGCCTTTGTTCCTGTCCTGCTGGCAGTAGCATGACTCCCTCCTGCCTGCAAAGTCATGGGTGCCTATCTGGGCCAGCGTGTCTATGCCCCACCTCACCACGCTGACCACAGCTGCCCCAGGCCACCTCCCTGCAGGCCTGGAGCCTGGGCACACTGTCTTCCTAATGCACACGCCTCAGCCCCAAGCCCCAGGGCCTCAGAAGGCGGCTGTACTTGGAGATGAGGTCTTTACAGAGGTGGTTATGGTGACTAGGGTGGGCCCTGATCCCATAGGATGGATGCCCCTGCAGGAAGAGGAGATGTGGACCCAGAAACACACAGAGAACACAGTTTCCATGGTGTAGTGGTTATAACGTTCACCTCACACACAGAGAACACAGCTGTCTGTGACGGCGAGGAGAGAAGCCTGCAGAGGAGCCCCAGCTGCCCACCCCGGGAACGCAGACTCCCAGCCCCCAGGCTCCCAAGAGAATATACGTCTGCTTTGTGAGCCTCAGGCCTGTGGTCTTTGTCACTCAGCCTTGGCTGACCTTGTCAGAGCCTTTCCTGCAGTGGTGGGGGCGGAGGTACAATGACAGCACACTTGGGCCTGATCCCCTCCCCCATGCCCAGGCGAGCAGGGGTGCTGAGATCTTTCCCCTCCCCCACCAGGCAAGCAGGGTGCTGAGCTCTTTCCCCTCCCCACCAAGGCCAGCAGGGGTGCTGAGATCTTTCCCTTCCCCTGCCAGGCCTGCAGGCCAGGCCAGCAGGGGTGCGGTCGACCCTCACCTGCAGCATCTGCAGGGGTGTGTGCTCGTTCCTGTCCTCCAGCTGCAGCAGCAGCCTCTCCAGGGCGTGGCTCTGCCTCTCCAGGGTGGTCGAGCTCTCCTGCAGCTTGGCCACCACCTCCTCCTCCTCCTCCTTCAGGGCCTGGAGGACACGCTGCTCCTCCTCCACAAGAAGGAGGCCCATCTTTTGAAACTCCACCAGGATGCGCTGTCTCTGCTCCCTAACCTTCACCTGCAGGGGGTTGGGGGGGCAGACGTGAGGACCTGCTGCCCGTGATGTCTTCTCCCTTCCTGGCCGGCTGCACCTACCAGCTTGGATGCTGGCCTCCTCCTGGCCCTGGGCCCTGATGACCCACAGAAAAGTCCTCCTGGGAGGGGTGGGAGCATTCGTGGGGTCACCTGGGGGGTCCCCACCACCTGCGTGCCCTCATTCCTGTGTCTGTGACGCGGCCAGCCTGTGCTGACCTCAGGTTCTCCATCCTGATTCTGGTGGGACTCTGAGCTTGGGATCTGTGTTCACAACCTCCATACCCCTATCGAGGGCTCATGCAGGCCCTGCGGGGGCTCTGGGGCCGCAGGCCAGGCTCTCCCACCCCACAGGGCTGCTGTGAGCACCCACCCTAGCCCCCAGCACCTGCCTGCCACTCAGCCAAGGCCTGTTTCTCCCTGGCCTGCAGCTTCCCCGTCTTCATCAACTCCTCCCGGAAGTGCCCCATGTCCGCTTCCAGCTTCAACTGTGGGACACACAGGCCGCAGGATTGGGGTCCAAGGCCCCTCACTCCTGGGCATCTGGGTGATGCCCCCAGAGGCTCACCCCCCAGGAAAACCATGAGGGGGGCTGCGGGTGGACACATGCCTCCCAAAACATGCCCCTTTGTCAAGAGGGTTGTTTGGGCTGGAGCCAGCTGAGGATGATCAGCCTCAGAAAGACACCTTCCCAGGCCTGCCCTCTCCTGACTATGGATCCAAACTGCTGAGCAGTGAGAGGTGCTATGACCCCCCTCTCCTGGGAAGTTTCACGGTTGAACAGGGAGAAGGACCATGGGGGGTGATGAGGTCACCAGCGTGGAGCCCCCCACACCGGGATTCGTGCCCTCGCACCTCCTGCCCAGTGCCCAGAGAGGACACAGGGCAGAACCAGCCGCCAGGAACCGATGCTGCTGGAGCCCTGACTGGAGGGACCCGGGTAGGGCCTCCATCAGCCAGGACTTCCCAACAGCTGTGACCCAGCCCCCTGCGTTGTCGCGGGAGCGTGCGGACACTTCGGTCACATGGTCCCACACTTGGGCTGTCCCTTATGGCAGCTGTTCTCCCGCCAGCCTCCTGACGCATGCACTTGTCCTCCATGTGCACCCCCCTCCCCTGAGCCTGGACGCACCCTGTACTCCTGCACAGCCTCCTCTATGGGGACCACCCTGTGGGGCCGGTGCACCCGGGACTCCCTGCAGACGACACAGATGGGGCTCTGGTCATCCTCACAGAAGAGCTTCAGCAGCTCCTGGTGCGCCCTGCACAGGTCCTGGCTCTGGAAGGCCGGGTGCTGCCGCGCCATCTCGGCCACCTTGGTCAGCAGGCGGTTGGGCCGCAGGTTCCTTTGAGGGGACAGCTCGCGGCACTCGGGGCAGGGGAAGGAGCCCCGCCGCTTCTTGCCCCCTTTCCTGCTCTTGGCCTTCTTCCAGGTTAGCTGGATGCACTCCCGGCAGAAGTTGTGGCCGCAGGCCGTCATCACAGGGTCCGTGAAGTAATCGAGGCAGATGGAGCACGTGGCCTCCTCCTGCAGCTTTCTGGCAAGTTCCAGGGCATCCATGTCTCCTGGGGAAGGAGCAGGAGATCCTTCATACCCTCTGGCAGAGAGCCCTGTCTTTGGCCGGCCCCACCCACAGTAGGGAAAATCATGCTAAGTTGGTTCAGTGTGCCCCCCCAGTAGGAGGTTCCTCAGCCCCCCACGGACCTGTCTAGAGCAAGAATCCTGTTAGGCCCGTCTGGCAAGAATCCCCCTCCCCATGCCACCTCTTAGTGACTTTCCATCACTGACCTCCCCACCCCCTGCTCTGTGGCCATAAATCCCCACTTGTCCGTCCTATGTTGAGATGAGTCAGTTCTCCACTGGCATCTCTTTCTCCCTATTGCAATAACCATGAAAAAACCTCATTTGTAGAAACAACACCGGTTTCTACTGTTCTAACTACAGACCGACTCTGGTCTTCCTTGACAAGGTGTGGTGCAGAAAAGTCAGTCGTGTGTGCGTGCATGCACAGAACAGAGAGATGCTAACACAGGTCCAACTGCAGACACACACAGTATACACACATGCAAACACACACACAGTATACATGCATGCACACACAAAGACAGTATACACACATGCACGCACACAGTATACATGCAGCATACACATGCAAGCACACACGGTCTGCACACATGCATGCAAAGACAGTTACACACATGCACAGAGCACGTACAGTGCACACACAGTATACATATGTGCATGCACACATGTATCCACACATGCATACAGAGCAACCATATGTGTACCCACATACATGCACACATGTCCACACATACATGCACACATGTATCCACAATGCATACACACAGTATCCACACATGCACAGAGTATACACACAGGCATGCACAGTATCCACATATGCACGCACACAGAAAACACATGCATACACCGTATCCACACATGCACGCACACAGTATATCCACACATGCGTGCACACAGTATCCACACATGCATGCACACAGCACCACATATGCACACATGTGTATCTACACACACATGTATCCGCACATGTATGCACACAGTATACACACATGCGTACACACGTATCCACACATGCATATGGAGTATCCACACACACATGCACACAGTATACACACATGCACGCATATAGTATCCACATATACATGCACACATGTATCCACGCATGCATACAGATCATCCACACATGTATCCACATATGCACACACGTGTCCACACACATGCACACATGTACTCACATACGCACGCACACAGTATCCACAATACACACATGCACACACACATGTATATACATGCACGCACACAGTATGCACACATGTACACACACAGTATCCACATACAAACGCACAGTATCCACACACGGGGCTCATATACCTGCGCACACACTCTGGGGTACCAGTACCCCGACCGCATGCCTCAGAGGCCCAAACCCCCTACGCAGATCACAGGCGGCTGCTGGAACTGTGCTAGAGGCTGGACGTGCACATCGCTCTTGGGCTGCACGCACTACCCCAGCTCCTAGCTCTGAAGTCCTCTGAAGTGATGGACGCTGGCAGCCTCACATCGTCCACGGGGCCTTGAGGGGTTCCCTTTACTGGAGCTAACCTCTGCAGAGGGCTAGGGCTCAGTCTCCCCCTCAGCTCTCGGCCACCGGAGGCGCACTGCCGAGCCCCCAAGAGAAGCAGGGGTAAGAGCGGCAGTCAGGGGGGCTCGGGTTCTGCTCAGGATGGGGGGGGGGTGGGGGAGCCGCCCAAGGACCCCGGACCAGTGAAGACCGACAGGCCCCCCTCCGTCCGGGAATGCTCTTCCGTAAATGCCGGGGAAACCCGTCCACCGTCTGGTTCCAGTTGGTAACCATCTTCAAAGCGGGGTCTGGTACTCGCGCGGCGGCGCCCACTGTGTGACCGCCGCTGGCCCCGGTAGTCTTGAGGGACTGGTACTCACGGGGGAGGGGGCGGCCGGCCGCACCTCGAAGAGCGTAGGCAGCCAAGGGCGCAAACAGCTCCCCGGAAAGCCTGCGCGCTGAAGACCTTCTGAGCGGGGGTGCGGGAGCGCAGGGAGCCGCCAGGGCCTGGAGCTTTGTGGCGTCAGCAGGGGCGGGGGCCGCCGCAGGGGCGGGGCGGGTGGAGGCTAGCTACGGCTTGTGGGTTGTCAACAGCCTGGGGGTGGGGGGCGGAAGCCTCTTGACAGGCGAGGGAGAGCTCAGAGTTGGCCAGGGTCGGGGAAGGAGGTCTCTGGGTGGAGATGAAGGGGGTTGCCCCATTGGGGGAGGTGAAGGGGTCTCTGGGGGAGATGAAGGGGGTCGCTCCGTTGGGGGAGGTGAAAGGGTCTGGAGGGTACGAAGGGGGATCACACCATTGGGGGTGGTGAAGGGATCTCTGGTCGGGGGGAGTTGATGCGGGGAGGTCGCCCCCTTGAGGGAGGTGAGGGGCTCCTCCGCCAGGCCCACAGCGGCCCCACCTCTCTGGTGCGCGCGTTAGTGGTCATGCAGTGGAGAGGGGAGAGGGTGGCAACCAGATCTTGGGTTAGGTAGGCAAGGAGGGGTGGAGGGGCTCCGGCAGGGTTGACCCTTTGGGGTCTTGCCAGCGTAGGAGGTGGTTGGCGGGCTGCTGCCCCCAACCCTGACCTAGCACTGGTTGGTGGCTGCTTGTCCCCAAGTCCTGGGCCCTGGGGGAGGGGGCAGATGGGGAAACAGCATGGGCCTGCACAGGAGGGCAGGAAAGCAGTTGGGCGGTGTAGACCCACGCGGGTACAGATGCACGCGGGTGTAGACACACACGAGGACATTCTGGCAGCTCAGCCAGGGTCTGCACCTGAGCGGTGCAGGGGGGGAGGCAGGCTGGACCACCTGCTGATTCTAATCTCCCCTCCGGAACACCGTCCCCTCTGATGTCCTTTCCACCAGCGAGGGGATTCTTGGCGGAGGGTTCCTTTCCATTTAGGAAATGGAGTCACAGAACGCTTAAAACTTTAAAATAATTTCAAGAAAACACACAATAGAGCAATAGATCCCATGTACTAATCCCTTTTAGGGTGTTTGCTGGATCTGTCCTGCTATTTTGTCTTGGGGGGAGAATGTTTGTGTGGCTTGAGCCAACCCCAGGCCCCACTGCCTCACACCCACCTGCTGCTTTCTGCAGGGGAGGGAATATTGGGATCCTGCCTGTTACACCTGGAAAAGACCTCATGTGTCATGCGTGCGTTGGGGAGCCCGCCAAGGAACTCTCCAGCTTGTTAAATGGTTGACAGCTTCTGGGAACAGAAGGTGCACACCTGACTCAGTAAGGGAGAGGGAGGGGAGAAGTGACTCCATGGGTCCAAAAACAGGTCCCTTTAGGAAAGGCAAATGGGTGTGGAGGAGAAGGGGAGGCAAGAAAGCCTGTGACCCTGTTTGTCTATACAGCTATGAGTGGCTTTCCCATCTCCTTCAGGTGGAAAGCCGCTCCCAGAGGGCTCTGCGCAACCTCCTGTCCCAGAACTTGCTGCTTCTGGTCCAACAAGGGAAGCTCTCAAGAGGCTTTCTTTTGCACCTGTTGAATCTGCAGTGTCTTTATCTTAAAATAAAATGGGAATTCTGGGGCCGGGAATAGCCCCCTCGCTTCCCACACATCTTCCCACGCATCATCCCCCACATCTTCTCCATGCACCCTCCAGTTGAGGGTCTCAATTTTATTGTTCACCCCATTCCTTTCCTGCTAGCCCCTCTCTAGCAGATGATAGCCCCAGCACCTGCACTTGCAGTTCCTGCAAACCCCAGTTTCTGTATTTCTTGCTGACATCATTGTTTTTATCTGCATTTACCACAGAACCTGCTGTATCTGTCAGGATTTTGTGGCCAAAACATGCAGTCCGGCCCCCCAGATGCAACAGATAGCTATAGCAAGGGTCATCTCTCACACTTTCTATGTGCACCATGGGCCTTGCAGGAGAAGGGCAAATCTTTCATTCTATCCTCTTAGGTTCCGCACCTGGGGTCTGTGAATTAGACAGCAGCCAGATGAACAAGTGAGAAGGCATACAAATTTTATCTAATGTTTTCAACTGTACATGTACGGGGACTTCACAAAAAGAACTGAAAACACAAATTGGCCTCTGCCCATTTTCACAAAGGGTGATAAGCTGTGGAGAAATACCTAGACAGAGGGAAGGGGCTTTGTGTTTCTGGGGTAAGTTGTAGGAAGGTGACTGGGATGCATACAGGAGGAGCTGCAGATAGGCTAGGGTTGTTCACGCAAACTCATCTCAGTACCATCTCTGGTGATAAGAGTCACCGTCCTCTCTCCGGCTCAGGAGAGGGGCAACTCTGCAAACGGAAATTTTCTGTACACATGGGAATTTCCACCTTGCTTTTTGAGAGAACAACTGGGAGGGCAGAGGTCCTCCTATGTGTGCTGTTTCTCAGTAGCCTTCAGCTCAAAATCCTCAGTCTGCCACATGGTGGACTGTGGGGTCGCATGTCCTGTTCCCCGTCGGCCTCTTGGTGGGGACCTCATGCAGAAGACCAGTTCTCGGCCTCTGCCATGGGATAGACATTGCCAGCACTCGGAGCCAGTTATGCCAGAACCTGCTGGAAGGTTGTTCCTGCGGCGTAAGGAGGGCTCAGCTAATCCGAGCCATTGGGACTGAGCCACAGGCTCTGTGGGGATGGCGGACAGCATCTGTCTGGGGCTCTCCTACCTTAGGAGATGGTGGCAGGCTCCACGGCAGTGCCTCTGCTCCTCCCCATGTCCCTGTCCAGCAGCTGAGACCACGGGGACTGTCCTGACTTGGGGTCTGCTGTTATCCTTTTCTGGGTGACCCTCTCCAATTTTTTTTTTCAAAGCTTTTATTTGATGGAGAGAGACACAGCGAGAGAGGGGACACAAGCAGGGGGAGTGGGAGAGGGAGAAGCAGGCTTCTGGCTGAGCAGAGCCCCGTGTGGGGCTCAATTCCAGGACCCTGGGCTCATAACTTGAGCTGAAGGCAGACACCTAACCGGCTGAGGCCCCCCCGTGCCCCTGAGTGACCCTCTTCACAGCAAAGAACTGCCCCTCCACCCAGTCTGCACC